TCGTTGGTAAATTAATGTAATAATAGAGTTATCAATGCTATCAAACGAAATTAACGACATGTTTGAGATTTAATAATCTAAAAAATTCATATGGCCGAGTTGACGGGTTGAAAGTAACCAGTTAATAAATTTAAATGTAATTATAAATTCCACTGAGCTGAACAATTTAGCTGTCTTGCTATCATCGCTGGGCCAAGCAAAATTGTAGCTTAATGAGTTTCTAACTCCATTTATTGCGTTCACAGAATTTCTAAGCCAGCAGTTCCAGCAGCTTCTCCAACCTTGCATACAGACGCACATATAAATATATGCTCATGCACATAAGAATTTGGATTAACATGGAAAAAATGTTAGTTAAATCTTGGCTTTTTTTATTGACACGCGAATGTTTAGCCTAAATAACTCGGCTACTAACTAAATTAATCAGTAGTGTAGCTAATTTAATGAAAAACACAAGGTTGCATCATAACACCAAATTCCATGCATTGCCTGATTCTAACACAATGGGGAGCTAAATTCGGCTCCAATTCGGCTGGGTTTGAAAGAAAAACCGTCACCAACTATTAATAACCAGATTATTTAGCCTATAGCAAATATTGGCCTGAAAGTTTTCTTCCAAATATTCATTTATTCGTTAAATGTAAGGAGGTTTATTCAGACGGATTTAATTTTAAGCAGCACTATTAACTCTCCAAACATATAAATTACCGGTTATAATGCGTTAATAAGAAAGAATGGCTGCCTGATTGGGAAGTTCGGGCAGTGCTGTACAATCAGAGAAAAATAAGTCCTGACTTAAGACAAAGCAAGATGCGTGCATAACATGTAGGATGATCATAGTTTCACAAAATTGACTTTACTCAAGTTAAAAAAGGATTAAAATGTGTTGGTAAGATTTGGCTCAGGTAACTGCAAATGTGTGTTTCTTACCCGAGACAGACGAGTAGTAAGAGATACCGGGCTGCAGTTTTCTTAACACAAGTGATCAGCTCAGCCATAACGAGGCAAGAGTTCTTAGTCTGACCACTCACGTGTACCACCTCGAGCTGGGCGAATTGGGCGATCTGCTCAATCAGGCCAAGTAACAGCATTAAGCAGATGCAGAATTGTAGGCGAAGTAGATCACGCCAATAGAGCAGCACAACTATCAACCAAAGAATTGTAACCACCATATATCCCAGGGACATCACACCGTAGAACTGAAAAGAGCAAGAAAATCAATGGATTAAATTTATATAAATATAAATATGAATAAATATAAATGAATAAAAATGTTTCAGATGTATGTGGGATCCAGAGGTCCTGCAATACCAGCAAATATAATTGTGAAAAGTAGAATAATTGAGTTCGTAATAATCATTAATGTTGAAGCATCTTCCAATTGGTTTGAAGAGGAAAGCTGAAGGGTTTAGTAATTTGTTTACTCAATTATCATTTTTGAATAATGATTTACTAAGACGAAAAGATCCCTGCTTAATTAAATTGCTCCCAATCACTTCGGAAGAAAAAAAGCAAGCAAAAATGCTTTCTCTAGAGCGTTGATATGTCTTTGCATCTGAATTGTACGTTGGAAAGCATGCCTTTCATAACTCTACTTAGCTTACTAAGTCTACTTAGTGTACTCACTATAGTTTACTAGGCAAAGGTGAACAGATAGAACGAAGAATTCGATCCTATTAGGATAAAATCGCACGCCAGATATCACATTTTCTCGTCGATTGGCTGTTTCCAAGTAGATGCGATGATTTCTTGTGTAAAAAATTAAATTAGCTGAAGGAAAAGTGATTAATTCCCATTTAAAAAATCATAAGCAGCCATAATTTTATATCCACCGAACGTAGTCGTCAGGATTAACAGTAATTGTCGAATAAGATGTCTAGCTACCCAAGGTCGCTTAAGGTGATAGTTGATGTTTTTCACCATGCTTGGAGTAGACCTCATGAATTTCTCCAAGCCTTGTTTCCAAAAACATATTCTTATTCCGACTGGGCTTCGCTGTATTGCAGTTTCGATTGAGGCTAAGTCTCATCAGCACCTTCCGGTTGAATGGAACCCGGGCTAAAGCAGCGTAACATGTAAATTCGACATTTAAATCATTCTATATTGGGGGGCAAGGATACGTGAAATCCAATGTAAACCTAAAGTCTATTCATAGCATTATTGAAACCTCAAAAATCAGTATTCAACTTGGGATGATCAGAACTCGTAGCAAAAAGGTGAGCCTAGTTTAGGATATTCTAACTTAGCAACACGATTGTCATACGACGCTACCTCGTTGGCAAGCATGGATACCGATCACGCTGTAACTGGATATTGCAATAAGTGCGAGTATTTTGGTGGTGCAACGTAAAAAGAAGCCCAGCCGAACATCACTAAATCTGGCACATGCAAAATAAGTTTAATCATCTCTGTGGATAGTATCTAATAAAATGAGATATAAAATGAGTTGGTTGGAGTAATAACGTCTTGATCCCCCTCAGCAAAACTCTTTTACTACACGAAATTTCTAATTCACGGGTCGGATAAGAAATAAGGCAAATTTATTTGTTGAAAAAAAGAGGCTTTTTAAGTATTAAATTGACTTTAGCCACAATAAAGCGAAACAACCTTACTACCAAGGGCGCCACCCGATGGATTTCACGAATTAATCCAGTTTGCACGAGAACAAATTTCTCAGTAGGGGGCCCCCCCGACAACCGTTTGTTCAGTCTTTAAATTTGCTCATTATTCACGTTTCCTCAACTGCGTGTCACGCCTACAGCATGAGAACGTTGAGTACAGTATAAACAAGCGACACAATCAGATGATATTAAACAGATAATATGAATCAATATCAAGCCAAATCATGCTTTGGTCTCACAACTGTCATAATGAAGAGATTAATGAGCAGAAAATTAAAAATAAAATAAAAAAGGAGTACAAAAATGAGTAAAAGAG